ACAGCTTGCGTTGGGACTTTAAGAGCGCCTGCGTGAGCGAATTTGGAATACTCCTTGCACCGTTTCACTTTTGATTCTTTATTCCGTTGTATATTTTGACACTGTTTGCTTTTCTATAAGATCATTGGGAACCTGGGCTTCTCACTTAGGAGAACTATTGTTTAAGTAAGCAGCAGATTTGGAAGACTCGTTGACTGCTTATCTGCCATTTTCAATTTTTAGAAGGAGTAGCCGGTGCCGCTGCGTTCCGAGCTGATGCCGCTTTGGTTGTCACTTGGTATAATACTGCCTCTGCAATATCTGGCAGAAGTGATATGGACTCTGGCCAGCTCGCTACTTATCAGCTTGTATGGCTCACTGATGAGGTACACTTTTCTATAATAAATAATACAATTTGCTTGCCCTTTGGCTTTCGCGTCGTGTCAGTGCCTTGGAAAAAAGTGGACGTGAAAAAGAGGGAATGTCGTAGAATACTAACACAAGAAGTTGTAAGTTGGAAATATGAAGGCCAAAAACTTATCTCAAAGAAGGGAATACACACGTTTCCCTTATTTTACGTTGAAATCATTTATGAAGGCCAAGATTTCTTTCCACTAAACTCTGTAACAGTTCCTCCAATTCGATGTGTTTTTCCAGGCTGCTCGTCTTAGCTATGTGATCCTAAACTACGATAAACTCGGCTTCGACGCAGCTGACTTCCGCGCCAACTCCAGAAGCGGACGTTGTCAGGTGAGCGTTCTTTACTTTCGCGATCGCCGTAGTCAGTCATTCTAAGAGTGCCAGTTCACATTCCACGCAGACTTTGATGACTCATACTCAGCCAGCTGAAGCATGAACATAGAGCTAGTGTGGGAATTCGACTCATATTTACCTAACTGGCACCACGATCGAACACACAATCTTGTGCAAATAGGAAACAATCGAGTGGATAGAAATAGTTGTAGACGGAGGCAGTTAGAAAGGGTCATGTTGTACTTTTAGTGAGTCATCGGAGTGAGGAAATTACTTGCTTCAGAAAATTTTAAAAAAGCGGATAGAGTCTATATAAAGTCTATATGAAATATGAATTCGAATATAGATAGTATGACAGTAATAGATTACCGCAACAATGAAATTAGAAGATCAAGCTGCGATCATCTTACCTATGAGTCCCTAAATGAGCGGGACTTTAGATGAGATGATCGCAGCTTGATCTTCCAATTTTATTATTGCGTTAAATCATAACTGTCATATTACATATTTCTGACTTCCCGCTTATGCAATAGAGATGAACATTTTAATGAAAATCATGTAAAATTACGTTCAAATAAAGTCAGTTTATAAGTGCTTGTGCAGTGATCTGCCTTATTTCTAAGATTCTGCTTTTTTATGCTCATGCTTTCAATTTCTCTTTATTTGAAAATTGAATAACAATCTCAAAGGAGAGCTTCTATTGTATCAGAATCGTGTTTCTTTATATTATCTGAGTTATGAAAGAAAAACAATTGTAGGCAGTATTCAATGGAGGAAATCATACTGGTCTCGTACCTGTGGACCCAACACAAGCGTACAAAAATACACCTAAGGTAATTCATTGTTAAAATTTGTGGATAACTCGCCAAGTCGATTTATATTTACTAGCAGTTTGCTCACACATCTGATATTCAGGTTTTGTCTCAACGTTCTGGAGTTCCTCACATGGTCCGTGGACGGTACATGTTTCGTGTCGATGATGTTGTGCGACCAGCTGGTTGCAGTAACAAAACAGGAGGAACTTGTAAGTTTCGGTGACAATAATCATAGATGCATTAACAACTGGGTACCAAGCAAACTAGCTATGATATTCAGATCCGATGCTGATTTATCCAAATATTGTAAATATGATGGGTGAAATGACGGTAGATGTAAACGCTATCTGCCTTGATCGTGCTCAGACCTACATTCTTATGATTGAACAACGACAAGTACTAAGCACCTTTTCACTTCTCAAGATGCTTCCAGCCATATTCATGTACTATTCTAGACTGCAACCTGTACAGTATTGAATTCTGCCATTGCGCGATGCCATTTGCCGAAAATCTACGACTGGGGAACAAAAACGGTTTATTTTCAACCGCAAAGCGGTGGCGCTAATGATGAAAAAGCCTTTGTGGGATACATCTATTTTGGTAATATTTTTATCGTAATACCACTAAAATATCCAATTCATAAAAATGTTTTACAGTGCCTCCAACTCTCGATCCGATGCGATTGGATATTGGCAACATTTATGACTGGTTCAAAAATCCTCTTCCATACCAGGTA